TCTGCCCTTAATAAATTCAGTCCACAAAGTATTTCCTGTCTTCCACTTCCACCATAATTTGATTGAAAAGGCTTTCTCAATATCACTAAGGGCCCTAATTCCCAATCCTCCCTCTTCAGCAGGATAGCAAACATTCTCCCATTTTGACCAGTGATATTTCTGCTTACCACTAGAGGAGCCCCAAAACAATGTGGCCATCTTACTGTTTAAAATCTTTATCACCTTCTTAGGTAGAGTGTCCACTGCTAGAGTATGAAGAGGCATAGTGTTAAGGACATGTTTAATGAGGATTAATCTCCCTCCTTGGGAGAGATTATTTTTCTTCCATGTGGAAAGTTTATTTTCAAATTGTTTTATCAAACTTCCACAAAACTGAAGTCTATTTATTCCTTTGTGCAGGTTTACCCCCAGATATTTCATAGGTAAAGAGGCCAGGTTCATCTCCATAAGATCTTTGATGCTATTAAGTCTGCCAGGTGTAGTTTTTCCACACAAGATGGAACTTTTGTTGAAATTAATTAACTGACCAGAAGCTGACTCATATTTTTCCAAAAACTGCTTGAAAACCATAAAGTACCTAGAATCACCATTTAGGAAAATTAACAGATCATCTGCAAATCCTAAATGGGACACAGGAAACCCATGAACACCCATATAGTAAGGTTTTATTCTTCCACTCGCCATTAGGTTATTCAAACCTCTAGAAAAACCTTCTGATGCTATAATAAAAAGAAAAGGGGAAAGAGGATCCCCCTGTTTAACCCCTCTTTTAGGCTTAAAAAAACCTTTAGGTGTCCCATTAATCAGAATAGAGAGATAAGTTGCTTCCAAATTGTTAACAATCAGTCTTATGAGATGATTGTTAAACCCAAATTTAGCCATAATCTCAGCCAGAAAATCCCAAGAAACTCTATCAAAAGCTTTTGCCATGTCCAGCTTGATAATCATATTAGAGCCCCTTACTTTTTTATCAATACAATGCACCATTTCCTGAGCAATCAGAATCTGATCTGAAATGTCTCTATTTTGCATAAACCCTGCCTCTTCTCTGGAAATAATCTTAGGCAAAATTGTGTTGAGTCTGACTGATAGAATTTTTGTACAGATTTTGCTAATAAAGTTTGCCAAGCATATGGGTCTAAAATCAGCAAAAGAATTAGGTCTATCATTCTTAGGAATCAAAACAATCAGAGCACTAGACATACCTTTAGGGATAGGCAAACCCATAAAAAATTCCTGAGTGGCCCTCCAGACATCTTCCCCAACTATATGCCAACATTTTCTAAAGAACTTCCCATTATAACCATCTGGCCCTGCTGCACTATTTTGATTAAGCCCCCATACAGCTTCTTTAGTTTCCTCCAGTGTTGGTAATTTAATAAGGTTTATGTTATCCTCTTCAGTAATTAGGTGTGGAATATTCTGCAGGATATCCCCAAAATCTCCATGAGTATATGTAGAGTAATGCTCAGAGAAATGGTGAACAACATCATCCCCAATGGCTTGGGCATTGGTCAAATTATTCCCCTGATTATCATTAATAGAGGTAATAGTCTGAACTCTATTCCTAATCTTCACATAAGAATGGAAAAATTTAGTATTAGAGTCCCCTTCTTTGATCCACCTTAAATGTGCCTTTTGTTTCCAGTATCTCCTCTCCAACTTATATTTCTGGATCAGCAAACTCCTTTTGTGTGCCCAATCTTCCTTAGTAAAATCCCCAGGGTCCTCTTCACAAGCCTTTTCTGCCATAAGAACCTCATTTTCACAATATTTAACATCCTCAAAAATGTTACCAAAAACCTCTTTGTTCCAGAGTTTCAGATCTTTCTTGAGACATTGTAATTTGTACACCATTCCCCTCATTCCCCCTCCAGCAGTGTAAGAAGGCCATTCGTTAGATATGAAATGCATAAAATCAGAATGAGCCAACCACATGTTTTGAAATCTAAAGGATTTAGGACTTGTTAGGGTTGTATTCTCAAACTGAATTAGCATTGGATTGTGGTCAGAGGGGGTCTTATTAACAAGGGAGATCTGGATAGTGTCAAAAGCATCAATAAAAGGATTGTTTAGAAGACATCTATCCAATCTTCTCCACACCCTTCCATTAGCTCTTACCCCATACCAAGAAAATTTGGGGCCTTTATGGGGCAAATCTACTAAATTACAAGCTGCAATACACTCTGTAAAATCATTTACTCCTCTCAGAGAAGGAAGAGAAGTACCATAATGTTCACTATGTTTAGCAATGGCATTAAAGTCTCCCCCTACAAGCCAAGGATCAACCATAGATAGAGAAATGTGAGTGAGCCCTTTCCAAAGATCCTTCCTAATCAAGTAATTATGTCTTCCATAAACTGCAGTAACCCATCCTTGAAAATTATTTGAATTGACTTTGAAATGCACAAACTAAAGATTCCAATTGATATTAGAGACACTCAAGGAAGTATTATTCCAAAACACCCAAATTTTGTTGACTGAAGAGAAAGCCACATCTGAAAAGCCCAACTCATTTTTGAAAGAATCAACCCTAGATTCATTGACAATAGGTTCAATTATCACCACCAAATGAAGCCTCCATTGTAGCACTAGGGAATGTAGTCTAGAGATGGAGGACTCTAAACCCCTAGCATTCCAAATGAGCCAATTCATTGAGAAGAGGGATTGGCACTCTCCTTAGCAAGACTTCTAGTTATTCTTTTTGATGTAGCCTCAACTGCCCTCCTCTTTTCTTCTTTTTTTTCAGCTTTGGTGAGAACCCTTGTAAAACCTTCCTCCTCTTCTATCTGTGATTTGTTTTGTGCAGGTTTTGCAGAGTGTGCCTTATCCCCAGCAGCAAATTCCTCTGGTTGTTCTTCCTGTGTTACTTCTATCTCAGGCTGAGTAGTGTCTATTGTTGAGGTTTCATTGTAATCTGCCAGAACTGTTGTTTGAAGTAAGTTTCCTTCAAAGGAAAATGGTGTCATCTCTTCCTCAGAAGGAATAATAGGGGTATTTGCTCTTTCTTCCTCATGGTGTTCAACTTCCGCTACTTCTCCTTCAAATTGTGGAACATTAGTTATTTGTTGGGCTTTATCAGTTACTTCAATATGAATTTCTTTGATTAATGCCTCTGCCTTGCTTTGATTTCTTCCCAGTTTTGATCTATTGGTTCTGAGGAAGTTCTTTTGTTGCTTTCATCATCAGAGTGATAGGCTTTGGATGCTAATTCTAGATCAAACTCTATAATCTGAGAGAGCTTCTTCAGGTGACAATCATCCGTAACAACCTCATCATTCTGACTCTCATCTTTCTCCTGCCTTATCTGTTGCTGCTGTTGTGCTCTGATTGCAGGAGGGTCCTCCATAAGTATTTCCTCTATATCCCCATCACTAAGATTCTCCAGCTGGATAGTATTGTTTTGGGCTTTTGATGTAGATTGCTTGTCAGATTGTAAAACAACCACCATTTGAGATTTGTCCTTTTCTTGAGCTGTAAATTTTCTGGGCAGTTTAGAGGCTTGGTTTTTGGGGATCCATTGTTCCTTTCGTACTTCACTTCTAGCTTGGACTGTAAGTATCTCTGTCTTTCCTTGCTTTTCATTCCGGCTCTTAGGATATTGTTTATCACTGTGTCCAAGATGGAGACAGGATATGCAATACTCTGGCCGGTTTTCATATTCAACAGACTGAGTGAATCCCTTTGTACCACAATTTATCCATATTTTCTGAGGCATGTCCTTAGTTAGATCCAGTTCAATACATACTCTCGCCACAGCAGGTGTAACACCCCGGCCTCGCAGGACTTGAGGTAGCTACTTTAGACCAATAGTACTGTCCTCACAAACCACCACGAGCCTTTACCGCGCACTTTGTCCTCACTCATGCGCGCCCTGAAAAACTTCCCAGTGGGTCACCCATCCCAAGACTACTCTCGTGCAAGCACGCTTAACTTTGGAGTTCTTGGGTGATGAGCTCCCTTAAAAGGAGATGCACCTCTGTTGGTATGAGTAGTACTATTAATCCGTTTAAATTAAATCTCAAGTGTTACAATCACCCCCACTTAGGAACGCAACGTCCTCGTTGCGCCCATCAACCAATCTCAAATCTCAATCAAATCCCAGAATCTTTTCCCCTGCTAAGTGCCCGCCCGATATCCAACGGATCAGCACACTGTCGCAGGGTTGCTTTGATACCATTTGTAACACCCCGGCCTCGCAGGACCTGAGGTAGCTACTTTAGACCAATAGTACTGTCCTCACAAACCACCACGAGCCTTTACCACGCACTTTGTCCTCACTCATGCGCGCCCTGAGAAACTTCCCAGGGGGTCACCCATCCCAAGACTACTCTCGTGCAAGCACGCTTAACTTTGGAGTTCTTGGGTGATGAGCTCCCTTAAAAGGAGATGCACCTCTGTTGGTATGAGTAGTACTATTAATCCGTTTAAATTAAATCTCAAGTGTTACAGCAGGCCTTGCCAAATTGGCAGTGGCTGAATCAATCTTTAATGGCCTTCCAATAAGTTTAGCTATTTCAAAAAGAGCTCTCGTATCCTGGAGGTGGATAGGGAGACCTTCCAAACCTATCCAAACCGGAACAACCGGTGATTCAACATTAGGACGAAAATCAGGGGACCATTTCGTCACACGCATTATACTCCCATGAATAATCCAAGACTGCCTATTCCAACAACGTAAATAATCCTCCTCCATCTCAAATCGCATTAGAACATGTTTTGGATCCAACAAGCCTAAGTGAAATTTGCCTTTGAAACCAATGATTTCAAATAGGGGTGGGATCGGGATGATCCCGATCCCGATTGCCAAAATCCCGATCCCGTCCCGATCCCGATTTGAAATAAAAAATGATCCCGAGTCCCGTCCCGATATAGTCGGGATCCCGACAATAAAATCCCGATTAAGTCGGGATCCCGATCGGGATACCCGATAAATCCCGACACATAGTTATCAAATATAAATATACAATGATAATTCATCAAGCAAATTCAAACTAATGATGGCAGCACAATTTCAATTCTAAATAAAACATACAACATAGTAATATAGAAATTCAATGATTTAAAATTACATATAGTTAGCAGCAAAAATATTTTTATCAAACGAGTTGAGCATTGCTTGTAGGAGTTCTAGAGTCTTGTCTGACTTCTGGGCAGAGAAGAGCCTCGACCCCTCGTCATAGAAGTTCCTCGACCTCTCGGCAAAGAAGTGCCTCGACCTCTCGGCAAAGAAGTGTCTCGACCTCTCGATCTAGGAACACTATCACCTCTTGGCTTAGCAGTAGGATTTCCCCTACCTCTACCTTGGACACCGTAGTTACTGGCATTCACACTTGAGTTTATCGAAGTAGAACTAGATTGAGATGAGTTTATTGTGATAGCCGGAACAACAGGAGCCACTTGAAGAGAAGTAGCAGGACCCATTTGAATATTTTGCCAATCTACATGAACAAATAGTCATACGAATTACAGTATTACACATTATAGCACAGTTATAACATTATAAAATTGTTATAGAATATATATATAGTGAAACAAAAAATGCAGAACCGAACTAATAACAAAAAGTGCAGGCACAAAATGCAGAACTGAAATAATATCAAAAATAATTTGAGCATCTTACTTGCTTCAATTTCTTCCAGGTCTTTGTAAAATTCAACTTCATCACCGCTTGGTTCTTTGTAAAATGAAAAAGCTTCATCCCTTAACCAATCACTAGTACATACTAGTGCCTCCACCATCCTTGGAGTCAATGATGCTCTAAATGGATCCACAACTCTTCTACCAAGGCTAAATGCATTTTCGCTTGCAACGGTGGAAGATGGTATTGCAAATATATCTTTTGCAATCTTGGACAGTATAGGGTATCTAGGGGCATTTACCTTCCACCACTCAAGGAGATTAAATGTTGAGTTCTTAGCACTTTCAAAAGGATCGGCAAAATAAGAATCAACTTCATTTGATATCTCAGTCAAAGATTTTTCAGCCCTTTCTCTCTCAAGTTGGTCCAAAATGTCGTCTTCATCCTCTTTGTCAACATCAGCTATGATTAAATCACTTTGTTGTGCATGCTCCATTGAACTAGTTCCCTTGTACTCACCATACAAATAGTTCAAGCAGTTTTTCACTTCAGTCACCATATATTCAATTACGTCGGCCTTCGTTTCAATAATGGTGTGTTGTTTCCTCAAGAGTTGAAGCTTAAATCTTGGGTCAAGTACATTAGCCACATAGATAAGTTTATTCACACTACCAAAACACCCCCAGTACTTGACAAACTTAGTACTCATACTAATTGCTACTTTTTGTAAAGTAGGATTAGATGCATCTTTCTTCTTGTAAAAAATTGCCCTTTCCACGGCAAACATTTCTTTTAAGATCAAACTTGAAGTAGACCACTTACTTGCACTAAGAACCAAAGTAGTATCATAAAACTTCTTTAAAAAATGTGTAAAGGAAACTGCTTGTTCCCAATCTTCATCAACGGGCGGCCCCACTCTTTTCTCCTTCAGCTTTTTTCCTCTTTCCAAACCATCTCATTAAAATAGTCTATGAAACTCACTTCTTCTTTCCCCAACCTACAAAAAACCTTTTTAAACTTGTACGCACTGTCAAGCATTTTGTAGGTGGAGTTCCATCTTGTAGGAACATCATATGGAACATTGGACATCTTATCTATTCTCTCCAATATGCAAACTACCCTAATTTTTTCCAACCTTTGTGGTGAGGAGTGAAGGTATTTCACACAATTTCGTATACCTTCAATGGACTTTTGAAGTTCCTTCAATCCATCCCCAACAATTAAATTAAGGATATGGCATGCACATCTCAAATGTAAATACGCTCCATCAAACATTAGAGTTCCCAAGCTATCGAGTCTTTTGGCCATGTAATCAACTGCCACCTTATTGGCACTAGCATTATCAACAGTGATGCAAAATATTTTATCTACCCCCCCACCCTTCATCACCGGTCAAAGTTAGACATCCTTCTAAGACTTTTCCAATATCATCCCCCGAATGACTTATGATTTTCGTAAAATTAATAATTCTTTTGTGGATCTTCCAATCATCATCTATGAAGTGAGCAGTGATTACCATGTAGTTTATGTTTTGGATGGATGTCCAAGTATCGGTAGTGATACTTATTCTTTTGCCATTCAATGCACTCTTAATCTTGGTTCTCTCAACCATAAACAATTCCCATGCCATACTAGCAATCTTCTTTCTACACAGTATCTTAAACCTAGGTTGAAGATCTTGTATCAGCTCCCTCAACCCTTCTCCTTCAATGGCCCTAAAAGACTGCTCATCCTTAATTATGTATATAGTACACTTCATTTCAAGTCTTTTTTTATTGAAAGAATGTGGAGCCAAAGCTGCCCCCATGGATTCATTTGTTAATGTTGGTTGACTAACATCTTTCTTCTTCCACAGAGGGCTAGCAGTACATGTGTTCATGTGATTCAAAGCTCCATTATTTCCATCTCTTTTGGGATGAGCTGCAACACGCTTAGGACAGTATTTACATACTACAAAAACATGTAGTGTATTGTCTTCATCAGTCCATGTCTCTCTATCAAAATGATCCCACACAATGGACTTCAATCTACTGTTCTTTGGCTTCTTAGTTGGCCTTTCTTTTGGTTCTTCATCTCCTTGCATTTGATGTTCTTCTGGAGGTTCAACTTCATCTCTATTATTAAATGCATACTCATTCACATTCTCAACGTACACATCTTCTTCATGAGTTGAAGCACCATCATCAAAGTAGCTAGTGTCCATCGAATACTACAAGATAAAAGAAATATAATTTTAATCTTTTGATTTACTTGACATGATCTCTACATAAAAACAACATTTTTACATTCACAAATTTCAGCATGAAGGATTTAATATGAAAACAATGACCCATCAGAAGGGGCTTTGGCACATCAAGGAAGAGAATAAATCGTAGTAGAGCTGAGAATAGGGTGGAACGATTTATCATAGTAATAATTTTGTATACCAGCTGTAGCGAGAATAGCCTGAATCCGAATTAGAAGCTATAGCTCTTGCTAAAGCAGAGTGATTTTTAGGTTCATAGGAGATGATTTTCAACCACAGAGGCTTTCTTATTAACCATGGTCTTAGAGAAAGAGCCGAAGCAGGGACTTCTTATTCTTGTAAAATTAATATATTAAAGTAAAAGAGAAATAATATTAACCATAGTATTAAGAAAGCAGGGATTTCTTAATACTAAAATATTAAAATTAAAGTAGCTCCTCAGTTCAATTTTACATCGACCTAACAAATGAAGTTCCAACCCAAAGTCCCAAATTAACTCACAAAAAGCAAAAGAGAAATAACTAACTCAATAATCAAGAAAAGCAGAGAGTTGTCACTGAGGAGTCTTCGTTCTTCCCTTCTTCCAGAATTCCAGCCTCTAGGAGCCCCCTTTGAAAGTCACATGGAGTATTCTTTGAAAGCTACGAGCCTGCAACTTTCGGAAGTTTCATTCCCAGACTTAAATAGTTTGAAAGCTATGATTTTCATTATTCAGGTCTATCTTATTTGGGCTCCTTTTTTGGGCCAATTTAAAGATTAGGTTAAACATCTAAACGGACCCACTATAAATTAGAAGTAATATATAGTTAATAGTTAAATACCTGTATTATGTAATTTCAAGTCGGGATGTCGGGATGTCGGGATTCCCGATTTTTTTAAATCGGGATCGGGATCGGGATAAAATCCCGACTAGTCGGGATCGGGATAGTCGGGATCGGGAATGTCGGGTGCGGGAATGTCGGGATCGGGATCGGGAATCGGGAATCGGGTAAAATTTCCCAGCCCTAATTTCAAATGCCTTACGAATAATAATAATAAGACTAGGGCGCCCCTTATAGAAATAACCTACAAGTGCCATTTTATGCTTATCAACCAAAGCCTGAACATCATCTTCAGAGAATGATATTGCCGGCATTCCTTTGAACCTCGATGCTTGAGCCTTGATATCTCCCTCTCGATTAGCAACAATATCAGCGAATGACTTCCCAATCCAGGCTGTTCCCGCCGGACCAGGTGGTTGTAGCGGCGGACGAACCACCGCAGAAGGAAGCTTTTCCGTCATTGATCCAAACCCTTCGCGGAAACCCTAAGCTGTTGTTTTTATTTTGAGCAGCCTGCTATGCTCAGGGTTGACCTTCTGGAAGCTTGTGAATGGCCCAATGTCAAGTACTTCCCACATCTCATCATGAAGAGCACAGAGATGTGCCTTCATCCGGATCCTCCAATCATCAAACTTAAGATCTGAAAACATGAGATTTTTGGAAAGAGAGTGATCCATAATATGAGATTAAAAATAGAGGCAAAAAGAAAACAAGTGGATCTTTGTTCAGCAAATAACCTAAGAGATTATTAGAACAAGGAGGCTCTGATACCACTTGTTGGTCCCGGTTGTACTGGATACAGTCTAGAGGGGGGTGAATAGACTGTATTGTCTTTTAACTTTTACAAGTTAAGTACCAGACTTAACAGAATAGCCTGTTCTGTTGACAGAAGAGACTGGCAGCGGATGGGGTTCTGGTACGGATTCTATTCGATTAGCCTCAGAGAAGCAAAGGCAGTAGGCCTTCTGTTAACTCATAAGACACGTTCTGCTGAACACAGATACCAAGTCTTTGGAGTTAATCAGTTCTAACTAAATGCGATAAATAAGTGCAGTAAGTAAATGACACCATTGATTTTTATACTGGTTCAAGGAACAACTCGTTCCTCTAATCCACTGTTCCACTAAGCTTGTAAAAACGTCCGTTTACAACGCCTTAGTCCTAGCACTTAAGAAGTCCTCCACGTCTTCTTCAAGTCTAGATGTCTCCTAGGATGCACTTCCTTGCTTACTTTAAGACTGGTCCTTTCACTGAGCTTCCTTGAAGTATCACCACTTCACTACTCCCGTTACTTGGACGTCCTTGTCGTTGGAGAAGAGTTCTTGTAAGAACAGGGGTTTTCCAACTAGCTTCGTTACAAATGATTTGTAGTTGAGGAGCTTGAAGTGTTGAAGAACGAATGGAACTTTGCTTGAGTTGGAAATAAAGAGATGTGAGTAAATAATCTTTTCGACGTCTGCCTTCTCTTGTAGAAGATGATGAAGTTTTAATCTCAAGAAGGCTTTTTGATTTTGAATCCTAGAAGGTTTTGTTTGAGCAAGTGTTGAGCAAAGGATGCAGAAAAGTTATAGCAAAAGTTATCCGGTTGTTCTTCGTAGAGTATCTTTTATACTAGGGTTGTCTTCCCGTTCGAGGAGGAGGACAATGCATTTAATGCGCGTACAGTGAGTTGACTGGTTGGACCCACAAATTCAGCGACTTGCTATTTGGAGAAGATATACTTTCTTATTCTTGGTCAATCATTTGCCTTAAATGTCTTCTCGTACCTATCCGCATTAAATGAGCATTTAATGCGCGTACTGTATCTTTCCCTTGAAGTCTTCTAGCCGTTAGAGGATCTTCCGTTGAAATAGCCGGCTTGGATAGATTTCTGAAAACTTCTAACTTTCTAAGTGTCAGGCCTTCTTGGTATTTTCAGCAGATAGTCACCCAGAGAGGGTCATGACCACTTCTGTTGAAATGTAAGTCACCAGAGGATCTTCAGTCCTTCTGTCAAGGTAGGAGCCAACAGAGGACCTAAGTACTTCTGTCCTAGTGAAGTCCAACAGAGAGTCAGGAGGACTTCTGTCAATGAACTATCACCAGAGGGCCGAAGGGGCTTCTGTCTGGAGGTCTTCTGTCAGTCGACTATTCTAAGAGAGTTTACAAGGAAAATTTCTAATACAATAAATCTAAAGAGGGGGTACACAAAAATCCTAATTAATATAGCATTATCAAGATCTAATTACAATTATTCCTTACAATGATACAACACGAAGAACAACCAGATAACTTTTGCTACCTCCACAACATTCAAACAAGCTTTCTTGAGATAACAACTTCATCCTCCTCAAACAAGAAAAGCTTTACGTTGGAAAGATAATATTCTCATATCTTCCTATTCCAACAAGATCAAAGTCCATCTTGTTCTTCAACACTTCAAGCACTTCATCTACATATCGTTTGTGATGAAGGAAGTTGGAGAAACCTCTGTTTTTACAGAACAATCTTCTTTTCAAAGAAGGACGTCCAAAGTAACTGGAGTAGTGAAGTGGAGATACTTCAAGGAGACTTAGTGAAAAGGACCAGTCATCAGGAAGCTAGGAAGAGCATCCCAGGTGACAACTAGGCTTGAAGAAGACGAGGAGAGCTTCTTAAGTGTTAGGACTAAGGCGCTGTAAACTGTCGTTTTTGCAAACTTAGTGGAACAGTGGACTAGAGGAACGCGTTGTTCCTTGAACCACTATAAAAACCCCGGTGTCATTTACTTTACGCATTTACTTTCCTGCACTTAGATTTTAACTGCTTAACTCCCAAGACTTGGACTATGTGTTCAGCAAATCTTGTTCTAAGAGTTATCAGGAAGGCATTTGCCTTAGTGTGTTTCTGAAGGCTACCCGACCAGAACTATTACCAATATATCCGCTGCCAGGTCCAGTTCTGCCACCAGAACTAGACCTTCTCTGTCAAGTCTATTAAGAATTTGACAAAAAGTTTGAAACTTGAACAGTCTATTCACCCCCCTCTAGACCGTTCCTTGTGTGAACGGGACCAACAAGATCTTCTTCTTAGGACTAAGTCCCCAATGTCGAATCGTCTTGATCTAACCTTAGCATCATGGTACTCTTTCACTTGGCGCCTATAATTTTCAATCCTGATGAACGCCCAGTACCTTCTCTCCTCAATTAAGTGGAGCTTGGCTCTCAGCAACTCTTCATTATTCTCATGGTCGTAATCTTCCACCCTCCTTCTTGGTACTATAGCCTCGAAAGGGGATCGAGCTTCAAAACCATAAGTCAATGCGAACAGAGTCTCTCCAGTGGCTTTCCTTGGTGTAGTCTGGTAGGTCCAAAGTATATTGTTCACCTCGTTCACCCAAGTTGACCCCATAGACTCCAATTTCTTTTTGAGACCGCTTACACTTATCCTGTTTGCATTATTCACCTTTCCGTTATCAAGATTGTGAAAGTCCTCAACTAATGAAAGCCCAAGGGTTGCAGATTGGTGAAAGCCCCCCCCCCCCCCTCCCCCCCCCCCCCCCCCCCCCCCCCCAAATTTGGGAGAGACGACCTTGATCGGGAATCTAAGGCAAAAATCAAGTACGAGAATTGTGACAAAACTATTTTAAATCCTAAGGCATCAGAGACTGCGGAGAAGGCCTGGAGGCCATTCCTAGACTAAGGACATACAACCTACAGCACTTAAGGGGTGAACTGCCCAAGTTGTCAAAAAAAACCTAAGGGAAGCCAGCCAGCCAAAAAGGTATGGCTGGAAAGCCTCAAACTCCAAAAGTGCCAGCAGTACAAACAAAACAGTGAATGAAGCACAAGAGAGACCAAAAGAGAAATGATAAAATGTGTGCAGAAAGTAAGAGATGTTTGGTTACACACCACCTCGAGGGCGAAAAACAGCATCATACACACAACCCTGGAAAACGGTGTTTATGATAATGTTTGTGAATTTAAAAATAAGTTCAATCATTGACAGGAGGAGGAACCGTGACATCCGAGGTAGGGCTGCTTTGGGGGGCTTCCAGGTTAGCCATCAGTTCAAGCAACCCTCAGGACTGGGCAGTGAAGGAGGGGTCCCTCCCTTGTAGAGCCTCATAAATAGACTTATGCATGTCGTATTTGCCTAACTGAAAACTCAGGGGGCCCTCCTCATCCAACTTGGCTTCTACCTCAGGGGTTAACAACCATTCCAGGGAAATTTCAGCCTAGTGATCTGCCACCACATGCTCTGCTTCAATTCAGTCCTAAAGGCCTCCCCTCCTCGGAAGGCCTGAACTGCATCTACTCCGACTCCTCGGTCTTCTTCTTCTTCAAATCCTCCTCCTTGGCTCTCCACGCATCCTCAATGGCCTTATGGGCGACAACAGCATCATCCGATTTCTTCTGCATCTCTCCAGCATCCCTCACCGCAGCATCCGTAGCGACCTCCAGGTCTGCCACCACCTTCTTATGGTTGGCAGACGGACCCTTAGCCTCCTGTTGCTCCTCATCCAAACGGTGGGAGCTGGAAGCAGCGGCAACAAAGGCCTGGGATAGCAATCAACAAATATTGCATGAGGAATTAACAGACAAGAAAATTATGAGTTCCAACAGAGCGGGAAATGAATGTTACCTCAGAAATAGCATGAACTGCGCCTCGAAGAGCTGACCTGGGGGTCAGACTCCTGAGCTCTTCTGCATCAGCAGGAGGGGTGATAGCCAGGGCTAGAGAGACTTGATTAACCGTGGCATGGAGCAAGGAAGCTGAACCCGAACACATGGTCAAACAGATGGTATGAAGAGGTGCTGGGGGCGTCCCCCTGACCGCCACCTTCCAATGATTGGGTCTTAGAATCAGACTCAACATCTACAACATCATCAAAGGGGCTCTTACCATATTTGGCCTTTTCCCCTTTGGGCACAGAGATGGGCTAGGAGACCAGCCTCTTCCCAGCCCCCTGGTCGTGGGAGGCCAGAGGTCTGCAGCCGGCATTGCAAGAATCACATCTCCATCTCCATGGGTGGACCCGCTTGACTTCTCTAGAGCGGCCTCTATAGAACCCCGAGTTTGGATCCTCCTCACCTGAGCCAGGGAACCTGAGGTAGACACATCCTATGCAGCAAGCCGTTCCAACATGCACGCCATCTTTTCACCCTCTGGATCAAAGCAAATGGAGAATTAGATTCGATTGACAAGCTAGAAAGAAGAAAACAATTGCAAGTTCAGGCATAGTCGACCTTATATGAATTCAAGCATAACCACCCCATCCTCACCTACATAATGGCCCATTAAGAAGGGCGAACCTTCAGCAATAAGCTTGGCGGCCAACTCGTTCCCCTCTGGCAAGATCGGCATAACCTATCTCTGAATCAGTTCCCCCACCTATTCTCAAACGGAAGCTTGCCATTTGCTGGGGTAACCAAGAACCACTTATGTCGCCAACCCTTGAAAGAGTCTGGATAAGATTTTGCAGCGAACAAACGGTGGCCCAACCGCTCGGTGTAGAAAAATAGCCCTGGGTATCGGAGGCGCTAGATCTTACAGAGTAGAAGAAGATGAGGAACAAGTCCAGATATGGTTTAATTTTCAAAGAGATGCATTGAGCGATGAACCCAACTATGAACAAATGCGTAGTAGGGCAATGTTGACCTGAAATGACCCCATAATGGTGCAAGATATCCAAGAGGGCAAGATGGAGGGTGAGTCGTAATCCGACTTGTAGACTCACCAGATGAACCCCAAAATGGGAAGGCAAAGGGGGTTCTACTATATTTTGACTGGGGGTGAGGCGAGAGCAGACAACTTTAGGCTCGGAAAGGGCCACCGCCTCATTAAATTCAGAGTTAGAAATGTTGGCGGTTGTAACCCTTAAGGCGAAATCGGCGGAAAGATAAAAATGGGTCTCAACCTCTCGGGAATCCACCGGGATTTTGGGCCGATTTGAACTAGCCCCGTCATCGGGGAAGACTGTGTGAAGAGGAACGGAACTAGAAGAGGGCATGAGACTGACCTGAGGAAGAAAAGTCAGAACGATGAAGAAAAGTAGTGACATTTAGGCAACGCAAGGCACTCTTATTATTCCAACCCCGCTACTCAAGCACTCAAGTGCTGAAGTTGGTAAGGCGAATTTGGAACTCGTGCAGTGCTGCAGGCACATGTCACATTATGATCGCATTTAATGTGAAGCGGTGCTACAGCTCATGAAGGAAAAATTCAAATTTAAAAGATAAGCGGCTGGTTACTCTTCTAAAATCAAGCCCAACTTATTTTACGGGGGCTCGTGATGGTACCATGGATCACATCCATGACCCAAGAATAAATTAAAATGAAGCCCATCACTCGGGAACAGCGAACCAAGCCCATTAACAGGGATCGTGACCCGCGGAGGGAAACACAACTAAGCCAAGTCTGGACAGCAGACCTCGATCCTAGGCGGGATTCTAGCGAGGTCAAACTTATCCTAGGGCTTACGTGGCATGCTATAGATCGAGCATAGCTATCTGGCAGCATCAGGAAGCTAACAGAAGAGACGTGGACCTAGGGGATAATGATTGCATAATAATTGAGACGTTACAAAACTCCTATTATAACCGAATGTATTAAATGCATCGGTTTCTTCCTAGACTATTGTAACTCTAGTTTTATAAATACTTCTTGTACATACCCTAAAAGTGATCTGCCTTTGGAATAATAAGATTGTCTTTGTAAGGAATATTTGTAATTAGATTTTGATGATGCTATATTAATTAGGACTTTATAGTACCCCTCTTTAGATTTAATGTATTAGAATTTTTCCTTTGTAAAAGTTCTTAGTGTGATCGACTGGCAGAAGGCCTCCTGGCCAGAAGGCCTCCAGAGCAGAAGACCTCCTAACAGAAGACCTTTGGTTCTCTGCTTCAGAACAGAAGACCTCAGGGTCTCTGTTGGCCTTTACTCTGACAGAAACCCTCCTGGTTCTCTGTTGGATATCTCTTCAATAGAAGTGCTCAAGACCCTCTCTGATCAACTCACTGTTAAAGACACCAGAAGGCCTGACACTTAGAAGAATTTCACCAAGCCGGGAAACCAACTGAAAGATTCCTTCAACGGCTAGGAGTCTTGAACGGAAAAGCTACAGTGCGCGCATTAAATGCACATTTAATGCCTTCCATACTCTGTAGAGTAAATGCAGATGATTGGTCGCAATGTCAGGATTACTTTATCCCAAAATAGTAACCCGCCAACTTTACCGGGTCCTACTGGTCAAGTCAACTGCACGCTCATTTAATGCAGTTGTCCTCCTTCTCCTCCAACGGGAAGACAACCTCAGTATAAAAGATACACTCCGAAGAACAACCGGATAACTTTGCAAGAACTTTGCAATAACTTTTACTACAACTCTGCGCATACAAGATATTCAAACGCTAAAAACGCAAAAAGCCTCCTTGAGATTAAAACTTCATTATCTTCTACAAGAGAAGGCAGACGTTGGAAAAATCCTTATTTCCAACTCAAGCAAAGTTCCAAGTGTTCTTCAACTCTTCAAGCACTTCACATACAAATCTTTTGTAACGAAGCAAGTTGGAGGAACCCCTGTTCTCAACAGAACCTCTTCTTTCATAAGAAGGACGTCCAAGTACCTGGAGCAGTGAAGTGGTGATACTTCCGGGAAGGCTCAGTGAAAGGACCAGTCTTAGGGAAGCAGGAAGTGCATCCAAGAAGACATCTACACTTGAAGAAGACGTGGAGAGCTTCTTAAGTGATAGGGCTAAGGCGTTGTAAACGGACGTTTTTACAAGCTTAGTGGAACAGTGGACTAGAGGAACAAGTTGTTCCTTGAACCACTATAAAAAGCCCTGGTGTCATTTACTTACTGCATTACATTCATTACTTTTATTTGAACTGCTTAACTCCAAAGACTTGGTATCTGTGTTCAGCAGAACTTGTCTTGTGAGTTAACAGAAGGCCTACTGCCTTTGCTTCTTTGAGGCTATACTAACAGAACTCCCTACCAGAACCTCATCCGCTGCCAGTCTGTTCTGCCAACAGAACAGGCTATTCTGTTAAATCTGGTACTTAGCTTGAAAAAGTTAAAAACCAATACAGTCTATTCACCCCCCCCCCCCCTCTAGACTGTATCCAGTACAACCGGGACCAACAGTCTTACGCTTCCTAAATGTCACTACTTTTCGTAGAGTAGCTCTCATAGTTGGAATTAAACTCCATCAAGTATATTATAAGTAAACCAAATTATTGCACTCTTATTAGTTATTACTAAAGAAATTTACAATCCACTTTTACATTTTTTTCTATTATTTTATAATTTTTAGCCTTTTTAATAAGAATAGTCGTGATCATTAATGCCAATTTAATATTATCCAACAAATTGAACCAAAGCAATTGACATTATGTACGTGAATAATTTTTTAGGAATATGAAACAAAATTCTTAAGTTACTTTTTAAATAAAATTTATGCATCAAATTGAGATTAAAAACTCTGTCATGAGATCATTTTTGGGTATCATGTTTGTCCCAAGTCAGGATAAAGGAGGAGGATGTTGTGGAAGGTGCGTGACGGCCAACTATCAATTAGTCACATCACATGAAATGAATCAAAATATGAATATCGCTACAGCTAGGTCGTCGCCCATAAGCGACGCGTCATCCCTCCGCCTGGGGGTGGTGTTAAATGAGGAAGGGCACGCTACACTTCATAGGCCTAGGTGTGGTGATAGGAATGCTAAGGCTACTAGGTCGTCGCTCGGAAGTGACGCGCCACTCCAATGCCCAAGGATGGTGTCAAATAAGCAAGGGCATGGTGAGGGTCATTGTGGTGTGAAGAAGAGAAGGCAGGGTGCTAGATTGCGTTTTAAGACATGGAATGTTGGCTCTCTTACGGGAAGATCATCTGAGATAACCGAGGTTATGAAGAGGAGGAATATCAGCATAATGTGCATGCAAGAAACTAAGTGGGTTGGAGAAAAGGCACGTGAGATTAATCCCGGAGGTTTTTAGCTGTGGTATTCGGGGAGAGAGAGGAACAAAAATGGAGTAGGCATTATGGTGGCACATGATTATATTGAGAGTGTGGTTGAAGTATTTAGGAAGAATGATCGCATCATGAGCATTAAGTTGTTGATAATAGGAGATGAGATCGTGTTTGTGGTAAGTGCTTATGCACCACAAGTGGGATTGGATGCATCTATCACTCAACAATTTTGGGAGGATCTTGAGTAAGTGGTGCGACGAGTACTAAGGGGAGAGAAGTTGGTCATAAGAGGCGACATCAATGGGCATGTGGGCCCAAGTCGTGATGGTTTTGAGAGTATCCATGGCGGACATGGTTTTGGCACTATAAATGAAGTGGGGGAGAACATTTCAGATTGTGCCTCGACTTATGAGTTGGTTTTGATGAACACTTGGTTTAAGAAAAAAGACTCTCACCTTGTCACTTGCAGAAGTGGAGCTAATAGTACCCAAATTGACTACTTTTTAGTACAGTCGACTTGGAGAACTAGCTACACTGATTGTAAAGTTATCCCAGGTGAGAGTGTTGTCACTCAACATAGGATGTTTGTGCTTGATTTTCAAGGTAAAAAGAGGAGGCAAATTAAGGTACAAGGGGAGACAAAGATAAAGTGGTGGAGGCTCGAGGGGAATCTCCAACAAACTCTTGCACACAAAATGTTGGAGGAAGATGTATGGTCTATTGATAATGACACACATGTGGATGATGTGTGGTTATCAATGGAGCCCACCATTAACAAAGCGGCGAAGGAGATAGTCGGAGAATCTAAGGGATGTTTGCCACCAAAAAAGGACACGTCTTGGTGGAATGATGAGGTGAAACAAGCAATAAGGAAAAAAGGGAATGCTATAAGAAATTGGGCAAAAGTTGGAGCGACGAGAACATAGAGGAGTACAAGGAGGCTTGAAGAAGAGTAAAGAAAGGTTTGAAGGAAGGCAAAGGAAAAGTGAACAAGGAATTGTATGTAAAATTAGACTCTAAGAAAGGAGAAAAAGACATCTACAGAATTGTTTGCCTTCGTGACCGTAGGACTCAAGATTTCAGAAAAGTTAAGTGTGTGAAGTATGTCGATCAAAGGGTGCTAATGGAGGACGAGGAAATAAAAGAGAGGTGGGGGTCATACTTTGATACCTTGTTCAACGGGAATAAAATGCAAGGTATTGATGATCTTACTATACCAGAGTGTATGGTAAATTGGGACTTCGTGAGAAGAATTCAAATAACAGAAGTTAAAGAGGCTACGAGAAAAATAGGGCGGAAGAAAGCAGTGGGCCCAGATGGCATACTGATCGAGGCTTGAAGAAGTGTGTGAGAGAAAGGCATCAAGTGGCTAACATGTTTCTTCAACATGATTTGGAGAAACAACAAGATGCCAGTGAGTTGGCGGAAGAGTACTCTCATTCCCCTATTTAAAAATAAGGGTGATGTAGAAGAATATGCCAACTATCGAGAGATTAAGCTTATGAGTCACACCATGAAACTTTGGGAGCAAGTGGTTGAGCAAAGACTTCGTAAAAGTGTGAAAATTTCGGAGAATCAATTTGGTTTTATGCATGGACGCTCAACAACTGAGGTCATTCACCTTCTTCAACAAGTTGTGGAGAAGTATAGAGACACAAAAAAGGATCTGCATTTGGTGTTCATTGAATTAGAAATTAAAAGGCATATGATAGGGTACCTCGAGAAGTCCTTTGGTAGGCCTTAACTAGAAAAGGCATATCACGTAAGTATATCAATATCATCATGGATATGTATGATGCTTGTACTATAAGTGTCTGCACTAGTCTATGGAGGACCGCAGAGTTCTCTATTACTATTGGGGTGCACCAAGGATCTGCTCTGAGTCCTTTCTTATTTGCAATAGTCATGGATGAACTTACGAAGTCAATTCAAGAACATATACTGTGGTGCATGATGTTTGCCGATGATATTGTATTGATTGATGAGATGCAATCCGATGTTAAAACAAAGTTGGAAGTATGGTGACAAACATTGGAGACCATGAGTTTCAAACTGAGTCGAAGCAAGACTGAGTATATGGATTGCAAGTTTGGTGGAGGTACAAGTAGTAACAACAGTGGGATTACTCTTGATGGTAAGGAGATACCGGTGTATGATATGTTCCGTTTTTTGGGCTCAATAATTCAGAAGGATGGTGATTTAGATGGAGATGTATGTCATGGAATCAGAGTTGGGTGGATGAAATGGAAGAGTGCATCAGGATTCCTATGCGATCGAGGTATGCCGACTAGACTGAAAGGTAAATTTTATTGAACAACAATAAGGTCTGCATTAATGTATGGCATAGAGTGTTGGGCGGTGAAGCAATGCCACATTCAAAAGATGAATGTGACAGAGATGCGTATGTTGCGTTGGATGTGTGGACATACCAGAAAAGACCGTTTTAGGAATGAGATAATCAGACAAAAGGTGGGATTAGAACATATAGAAGATAAGATGCATGAGTCTTGTTTGCGGTGGTTTCGGCATGTGCGTAGAAGACCGAGTGATGCACCTGCTAGACGACTTGAGGGGTGCGGAGAAGAGACAGAGAAGTGAGGGAGAGGAAGACCCAAACAGACTTGGATGAGAGGAATCAGAACTGATATGCGTCTTCTTGGTTTGGATGAGAGTATGGCTTTGGAGAGAGCAAAGTGGAGGGCGCACATCTGTGTGGACGATTGATGTCTTTTCTACATTTTCTCTCTCTTTTCTGTTATCGTTTATCTTATTTATCTTTTATATTCTTATGTTATTTTTATCTTCTAGCTTTTTTATGCTCATTTTTTTTCTATCTTTTATCTTTCTTATATTCTTATGTTATTGTTGTCTTATATTTATTTATCTTTATTTTATCCGTTTTATCTTACTTCTCCCAACCTTGCTCGTCTCTGTTTGGCATCGATATAATAGACTGATTCATGTTAGCCGGCCCCAAATTGTTTTGGAATTATGACTTGGATGTTGTTGTATTAAAATGAGATTAAAAGAACTATAATCTCATACGTAGTATGTTATTTGCCATTTTGAAATCTCTGTTTTTAATTACAATCATTCTTATAATCTCTACATCCCA